TCTTTTTTTTTTTTTTTTTTTTGGAGATCTCCACTAAAACTTTCATCAAAAGCACCATTAAAATCCCGAAATTTTTTTTTCTTTTCAATCTTTGGTTAAATCAACCGCACAATACTTTCACCCACCTCCAGCTCTTTCCCATTCAGATTTTTAGAGAAAAAAATAAAAGATTGGAAACTGCAATAAAAAATTTTCACACAATTTTTGTATCTTAATTCAAAAAGTTTCAAACAAGTGCAGAATGATAGTACTCATGCTCGAAAGAAATGAAAAATCTAGTTGTATCAGTATAAAAATCCAAAGATGACAGTTCCTAATACTTAAAAAACCTGATTTGACAAGAATTTCTAAATACTACTGATTGATTTTTGAGCAGCAATTTTGGCAGATCTCACAATTAACCAAAGAAACCAAAAAGAGCGACTCATCAAATTAAATGTTCGTCAAACCCCTCCCTAACATTGTCGAAAGTTGTAAAATTCGCAATTTTCAACTAAATACCCTGAAAATTATTGTGATATTCAACTGCAGAATGCGTACTTCGCCCTAACCTAAAAAAATCTTTAACATTTCAAAGCCATCTGAAACTGCATAGCATAACAAACCGTTTCTGTGCTCCTAAAATAAAGTAGAACTCCTATATCCCTGTAGCATATAAGAAAAGCTTTCAAGTTTTTCCATCTTTTTTTTTTCAAATACTTCTCAGAATTCGACTACTCGGTGCGGTTTAAAGTTCTATTGATGTAAATCTCCCCTCGTTCACCCTACCAAAATTGCAATTCTAGAAGAGAAAAATTTCTACCTACGCGAATCAGTGTGGATGAAGGCCAACATTAACGAATGCCAGAAACGATTTAGGTCATAAGGCAACATCCGATAAATTGAAGAAGCTTCTTTGACTTACTCATTCTTGACACCAGTCAAAGACAACAGCCTACTACGCTGGCAAAGTCTAAAATGTTTGAATTTCTAAAATGGAATGATTTAATTTTTAATGAATATTATTCAGAAAAGATGAACCTGCTGTTCACACGTCATGCAAACGATCTTACCACGCAGTTACCTTACTGCTATACTTCAGAATTGTAGCAAAAATTTTTGAAGTTCAATGTATATGTAAATTATCTGTTAATACATAAAAGGTTTTATTACAGCTAACACTGCAATAGTGAGGTTTTCGTCTTCCACGATAGAACCCACGGTTAGCATGACTAACAGTGCCAAAAATGCATAATGCAGAAAATGTAAATCCCATTAATTATAACTTCTGCTACTTTATTAATTTAAAAAGCACAGGAGACATTCTTCCGCCTTATTAGTCAATATAATTTTAAAATCTCCTGCCTTGTTGAATCATTACAACTATTTCTTTTTGCAAAAAATTAAAAAATCCGGCGCTATTATAGTTACGAGCGGCAAATCCAAAACATGCTTTTTTTATCGCCAACTATACTTCATCTTTTCACTTCACAGTTCTCGATCTCACCTAATTCACCTGTGAAGTTTTAGACTTATTCGCCTATTTCCTGCTAACCTTCTAACAGTCTAACGCGACAATGTCGCTATAATTCTTTTGCCAACTCACAATGCCTCTTCCTTGTCGACTGAGTGGTTCAAATCATTCTCAGCGCAGTTCCATTCAAGTTTCTTGACCATTTTCTGGTCTAACCTAAGATGCTTACTTAATCACAATGTTTTAGTTGTGTACGAAAAGCTTCACAAATGATAGTAAATCAGTTTATTTTCCAGAAAAACCTGCTTTTATCATTTTATAGATCCCTCTGTCTGCTCCTCCTCGAATATAAAACAAAAAACTAAGTTTTGGAATCCTAATAGCTACACTTTGTCCTGTATCTTTGTTTTAATTATTTTCTTTTTCCTGTTGACTCGTTGTAATTGTATTGCAATTTTCATTGTCTATAATCACCTCTTTTCATTATTAGTGGACATTTTTTCTCAAGATTATTTTTTTCACAATTTGACTTCGTCAAGACAGGATGCAGTAAAAGAGATTTATAAAATAGCAAAGGCAGACTTAGACATCTCTAGGATACACACTCATTTAATGTCATCTGCTAAATTCTATGTACGCAACTAATGCATTATAACTAAATAAGAATTTCTGAATTCACCAGATAATAGTCAAGAAATGTGAAAATGCGAGTAGAGGAACTGAACGAGGGGTGGATTTGGACTCCTTCCATATTCCTAAAATTGCGGCTGCAAAATGCATGCGCTAATCATCAAACCACTCGCTGAAACGAAGGTGGCTTTGTCAAATGGCAAAAGGATTATAGCGCCACTTTAGCATTGAACTGTCAGAAAGTTAGCGGGAACTAGAAAGATAATTCTTAAACTATTGCGGATGAAGCAGACGGTGCCGGAGCCTGATATACAAGAAATGAAGGAAGACAATCAAAAAAAAAAAAAAAACCATGTTTACAGATAGGCACTCACGCCTGCACAAACGCTAAAAAAAGTCCGTTAATTGCGTTAAAAAGAATAATAATTTCTTATACTATCATGAACGGCTCCTTATTTTCAGGGAATATCCATATCTTTGAAACTTATAACTATGATTTAGAGAAATTTAAAATCTCGACCAAGTTATAAATTTAAATGTGAAAATATCTTATCGTAACGACACATTACTGATCACTTCAAGGAACAATCAAAAAGTATGCATTCATAAAATAAAGAAAAAATATCCACGTAAAATCTGCATAAGCGCTTATCGGTTTCATGGAAACCAATCAAAACACAACATCATAACAACAGAAAATAAAAAGAATTGCTTAAAAATTCCATCCATAAAACAAATGCTGCTGGATTCAGAATTCTTCAGAGATTGGCGCCACAAAAAACTTCGCAATGACCAACGGCCACTTG